TAATAATATAAAACCATTTTATACTTGTTCCCAAAAACCTTTTTTTTTTTGCCAGGTAAAAAAATGTTGTTACAAATATTTACAGCATTTTCTTGTTAGATGAATATTTTTACAAACTTAAAAGGGGATTTGTGAACACATGAAAAATTAGGGAATGTCTGGCTCCCGTAATTGTGTGCCTTTATTTGTCTGAATATACCCCCTTCCCCTTAGACCATGTTATTTGGTTCACATTTTTAGAAAATCTTGTCTCTCGTTTCATTGATTAGTCTGTTCACCACCCACAATCACATAAAAGGCCACTTTACATGGAGTCTTTCAAGAAAAATACCTCAAGGACAGAACTGGCAAGATGTTTCAGAAAAACCAGAGCAAGCAATCTTTGGTCATTGCAAATGAGGTGACAATCTAATGCAACATTTTGTTTGGTCAGCAACCGTTATCTTGAGAAAGTGGGAGGATTGTTTCTCCAGAAACTGGAGAATGAATTGGGGGAAGAATGAAAACACAATCAAAGAGATGAATTAAAAGTATAAGCGATTGGGTGTTTTCTTCCTATCTTCACTAATAATGCACATTAATCCAAGAATGGGAATTTCTGCAAGAGCTCACTTATAAAAGAGGACGAAGTATTCTCCTCACTAATTTATTATTTTCCAGGTTAAAACTTACTGTGAGAACTGTAAAGCCAGATGTCTTGAAATCCTATATGGTGCAGCATGGTTCATGTTACAATGGTAGACAGCAAAAGAGTTATAAACTGAAACAGTAAGCAATCAACTGCACATAAGGACATTATATGTTCATGGGTCATTTGGTATTTTAGTCTATATAAATACACATTTCCTTGAACACAAGAGTACTGATTTTAAAGACTGAGAGAGATAGCAAAGAAAAAAAAATACAGAATCTACTGAAGGCACATAAACTTTGGTCCCATTTTGTTTTCTTCTTTGTAAAACCCTGAAATTAAGATTTATGAAGCTTTTGTTTTTTAAAAAATAATTCCTAATTGTTAAGATTTGCTTTAAAAATTAAGAACAGTTTCATATACTACATACATATTTTTGCAAAGACAATTAGGAGTTTGCTAAAAAACGTATTTGTGCAAACTTCAACAGTTTTCAGCATAATAATTCAAATCTGGCAGTTGTAATTAAAATTACCAGTCCACAAAAGTGTCAAGGCAAACAAAATGGCTTTTAATAGAGTTATCTACTCAGGTCTGCTCCTTTGAAAATAGCAATATATATATTATATTTGTGACAAGATGAAGACTGCAATGGCACAGCTCAGATTTGCTATTCCCAGAAGTACCACTATGGTCTTACTCGGACATACTTAAATAGGCAGCAATAGATTTGGTTCACAAAATGCCCCCTACGTGCTAAACTTTAGAGTAAGTATCCATTGCAAGTGGAGCCTTTTAGTCTGGAAGAAGAGGTGCTACACAGACAATTCAAGGCTACTTTTGAAAATATAGGCACACAGAGCCTACAGAGTATCCTTCAAGCACAGTCAGAGTACAGAAAGTGAGAAACAGGACAGGCAACCAACTTTGGGCAAGGCTTCAAATTAATGTTGTTTTGACATTCAGAAACCTGCAAATATGTTGGATAGAAAATTGTAGGGCAATACTGAAATTAAACCATATTAAAACTTGGGCACGTATATACCAATTATTACTAAAGACAGAATGCATGGTATATGAAGACATTGTAAGAGATTGCAGCTCTGCCAGCATACTGCAGTTATCCTTCTCGAGTCAGCTTTGAAAGAAAAAAATAGTCTCTTTTTCCCCCTAGTTTATAGTCTAAGACAGGGGTCCCCAACCCCCGATCCATGGACCAGTACTGGGCCGCGGCATGCCAGCATCCGGTCCACACAAAGCCCCATCCGTGGGGTGCAGGCAGCACATAAAACCACGCACCCTCCGGCCCGCAGAAAAACCTATCTCCACAGAACCGGTCCCTGGTGCCCAAAAGGTTGGGGACCTCTGGTCTAAGATATCCGGTTTGCATTTCACTGTTAAACTATTATGGCTTTACCTCTAGGAATAAGAAGCCTAAGGACTGTGGGTAATTACTTGATTGAAAACTTGAGCCAATACTGTTTCAAATTAGCCTCTCTACAGCCCTGAGGTTTGAACTTGGTTGTTTCTGAAGGCATTTTAGCTTTGATGCATTGCTATCAGATGAAGAATGTGCCGCAATTCCCTATTTAGAAAGCATTTCCATCACAAATGTTGATTTATGGAACTGCAAATCCCTCTTCATAAAAGGCGCTAATCAGTTTACTAAAAGGGCATCTTTGCTACTGCTGTTATGTATAAATATGCTCTATACATTGATAAAAACCAATTACCTTCAATTCTTCAACCCAAATACTAGAGGTCACAAAAATGCCTGACAAGGAAGATTGTTACTTCAACTGCACTTCCAAAGGAATTGCACTTCCAAAGGAATTGTAAGGGCCACAGAGCTTTACAGCTTAATAGAAAATAAAGGATAAGACAACAAAAAGTGATGAGAATGATCAAATAATTTGGAAAATTAATTTCCTATACTCGGGTGCTTGATAAGGCAATATCTGCAAAAAATATGTTACCCAATAACCACATCCTTAATTAAGTCACTTGCTATTCTATGATAACATTTGTTGCTAATGTTCTGCAGCAAACGAATAAAAGGACAAGAAAATGGTAGTATCTGTTTTTATCTTAATCCAAATTCAAGAGGTTGCCTTCTAAAACATTCCACAGAAGGAAAAAAAATAAGCTAACTATTGCTATAAATGGAATTCCTGTTTTAAACGCAAAGTTTGTACTGCCTTTTCTTATATTTGCAACTCATGGAAAAAAACAAGCTTGACAAGTAAAATCAAATGCAAAATGTTAAACACATACACTACAACCACGATTTATACAGAATATAATGCAATTATGATGAGACCTCACTAAAAGAGTATATCCAAAATAAAATCCAAAACATTTGCCAGCATGTAACTATAATTGTAGGTCTAAAAACTCAAGACTGAAAGTAGGAAGTTTTATAGGAACTATGGTATTTTTTTAAATCTTAAATTGACCATTTATTTCCCTTAACACTACAAAATTGTTTTTAAGATTAGTAAAATCAATAAATTAAATGCTTGCAATGTTTTATCAGCATAAAGCATAAGGTATTTCACATCCAACATGCGCGCACGCACGCACACACACACAAAACACTCTTGATATTATACATGTTAATTCTCACTCTCATTTTTTCCTGCTTCTGTTACATTCATCAAGTCCAACTACATCCCCCTCTGTAGCAGCATTAAACACATGGTGACCAAGCCTAAAAATAATTTAGCAAGTTACAATACAAGGCAAATTTACTGTTTCTCTAATCCAAGAAGCTATTTAATGGCTTAAGGGGCTGTCATCCTGAATATACTTATTTTGAGCCATGGTTCGTTAAAATTGATAGCATGGAAGGGAAATACTAAGGCTCATGTGCCATACCAGAATCAGGCACTCCTTTCAATCACTTTGCTAAACTAAGAAAATGTGTTGCTACTCTAGAGTTGGCTTGTTTTAACAGACTTATTATTTTCAAACAGCTGCAAGTCATAGCTAAAATGGGATCAGATCCTACTGGACACTAACGTAGCTTTACATGAAGAAACATACATGTTGACAAAACAAAACATACACATGCTAATCAAGTGTCCAAACTGTGATTATCAACAAACTATCTTCCACGCACAACTATATAAATTTAAGGCAGCCAGTGTCTCACTGCGTATCCTTTCATGCTACAGCAATGTTAGTAAGGAACTCGCATTTCAAAAGTAACTTATAATTTTATCAGTTTAAAGGAGTTTAGAGATTGATCTAAAGCTGTGAAATTCTTTTTGCCAAGCAAAAGCTGGTATTCACAGAACGATCTGACCTACTAAACGTTCCAAAGACAATGAGCACACTTCATATTGTCACATTCCATTTCTTTTTTTAAATCTTTGTCTCCATTTTCAAATCCATGGAAAGGATTAACCATCCTTATTGACGAGAGGAATATTTTATAAAACAATGCATTTTTTTTTCAGTAGACGTAACATCTTGAGACCCCCTCTAAAAACATTGTATTACAATCATAGAAATAACTTGAGTATACCTATATTTCACAAAAAAATAGTTAAGATTGCATCTTTCTCTCCAAAGAGGAGTGAACATTCAGTCCTGAAGTTTTGACATTTATGAAAGTAAGCCCGTCTGCACTGAGCACAACAAGCCCATTACTGTTGGGTGAAAAGAATCCTGAGACAAAATATTCTCAGAGTCAATAAATCAACTGTTAGATATCAACCAGAAACTGAGAACATTCTCTAAAGCCCAACAAGGGCATCACTCAACTGCAACCCCTAAAATATTGTGAAGAGGCCTAGAAGCAGGTGCACTGAGTTATCTTCATTCCCAACCTACCCATCCCTATACCAAAGCACCAAAATCTGGTTTGACTATTACTTATTAAAAACATCTTTAAAATCACCAAATGTTTAAAAACTAAGACAAAGGGAAAAAATTTCACAAAGCCACAATACAGTTAAAGATACTTCAGATAAAACTCTAAACTATTATATCATTTATAAGCACATAATAAGGCACATAAGAAATTAAGTAAATACACAGTAATTCTGATTTAAGTATTAGAGATTATAGTGGTACAAAAAACCCTTGAGGTTTAATTTTATAAGTTTAAACAAGACCTTACCAAAAAAATAACCTTTCTTAAAATTTGTCAAACCATATGACAGACCTGATTTTTTTTTTCCTTAGGAGTGTAAACAATTATTTTTCTGAAAGAAATGTACAAAACTTGAAATCAGGACATATTTCTTCTTTCATTTTCTCCAATATCTCATTACACTTCATCTCATAGTAACAACAGTTATCTCTCATACCGTGATTTAATGCCTAGTTAGAACTGTCAACAGGGTCACCTTAGGACAATTTATCTGTGTGGGTTACAGAATTTATTGGATATCATTACATTACTCCAAGGAGAAATAAGGCACTGCCTTTCCTCCAATATTTTCAATAGAGAATGATTAAAACATTAATTGGTAAAAAAAAAAACTATTCCCACCAAAATATTTTGGATGTAACTGACAAATAATTTGTCAAAATTATTTTTAAAACATTCCATCGAGCACATTGTTTGACAAGGAACACAAATATTGTCTGGGAATAAAAGCTTAGACCATGTTCCTGAAATCACCCCCCCCCCAAAAAAAAGGGTTCTGCTAAAGGTAAGATTATTAACAGAAAATTTTGTGTAGGACCATTTGCCATTATAGCAAAAGGTAAACCCACGATTTGTTACAAAGTACAGAATTACACATGACGCACACAAGTTTCATTGTTCAAGGATGCCGCCTTGGTTTGGCCTATTATGGTCTCTGCCTGAAAGTTTTTACTGGAACTAACGGCAATGCGTTGAACTCCTCAATGCATCAGATTCAGATTGTAGATTTAGAAAAGGAAACTCTGAGGTGATGATTTTCTCCAAGATCATGATTATGAAGCTCAGTGAGGGCTTGGATTGCTTCTTCCATAGTGCCCAATTGGATAAGAGCCATTTTGCGGTCTTTTCTGGAAGCAAAAAGGGTAACAAATAAGTTCATATATTTATAATGCACCATTCTGCCTGTATAGTACTTATTTCTAAAAATCTTCAGAGCTTCTTCATTCTGCTTACATTGCAAGAGAAAAACAATGCTAAAAATCTTGGTTGTTATTTAGACTATTTCTGATTTTTTCCCCTTCTATTTCAGTGTGCTAAAACAGGGGTCCCCAACCTTTCAGGGTTGGTGGCCCGGGGGGGATGGGGGGGTGGAGGCATCTTTATGCGTGCGAGCACGCGCCCGTGCAAACAAGGCTGTGCACGCACAAATGGGGCCATGATTGTGTACGCAACGCAAATGGGGTCACAAGCGCCCACGCGATGCTCAGGCAATGCTAGCGCCCATGAATGCCGCGATGCTAGCGTGAGTGGGGATGTTGTGCTTGCAGTGACAACAGTGCCGGCATGCCGCATCACTAGCTCGAGTGGGGGGGTGCTGGTGGCGATGCTAGCACCCGCCTGACACTCACATTGCTAACGCCTGCACAACGCCATGATACTAGCATGAGGGGAGTGCACTCATGGCAACGCTAGCGTCCATCTGATGCTCACGGCATTGCTAGTGCCCATGCGATGTCACGCTAGTGCGAGTGGGGAGGGTGCGAGCACGCACATGCGCGTGCGCTGGCCAGCCACTCACGCGGCCCAGTGGCCAACAGCCCATGGCCCAGTAGTGGGCCGCGGATCCCAGGTTGACGACCGCTGTGCTAAAGCATGCTACTGTTAATTCTGTTAAAGCAAACACTTTTCAGCTTCCTAGTTCTATGCTTTTAATTTCAGAAAAAGACATTCAAAGATACAACCAAGCTTTTAAGTTTATGTAACTATGTTCCTTTCTCCCCCCCCCCCAAGAGGTCAACCAATATTAATTCAATATCGTATGATCTTTTCCTATTCTTATGGATGACAAGAATGCATTCTTTACACAATGTACAGAAACTTACGGAAAGAATTTGAAGGCTTTCACAGTACACCCAGTACCAGCAAAAAGATCCTTCAGGTCATCCACTGTGACAGAAGGCCTGTAACATGGAATTAAGTGCCCAACGTTAGCAAATATTCATGGAATCTAAAAAGAAAAATATTCTTCCCATTTGTACTTAACAATAAGATAACCCTGTGCTGATGACACCAATCTCCCACTTTTCCTCAGGATATTCTTATCTCATTAGATAAGCAAGCCCATAAGTAAGGCAAGTGTGAGCAGAACCAGTATAAAAATTCTATTATTAGCCTCCTCCTTTGGCATTATCTAAATACAGCTTCAAGATACATAAAATCATTACCAATTATCATGGAGCCGGGTGTGATGGGATGTGCTGGCATGGCCCATCTGCTCAGGTCTCTAATCAGCCTGCACTGCAGCTATTTCTCTCCCAGCTCTTGCTCTGGCTATGGTGCTTTTGCTTCCTGAATGCTTTTCATATCTTTCACCCCACCTCCATTTTTGAAAACTCCTCTCCAGGCTTTCAACAAGTAAAGGACAGGGACAACTCTTTGATTTGGGGAAAGAAGGGATTTTTTTTTCATTATTTCCCTTTAGCATTTTTACTTTTAGAAGCAGCAACTCCACTTTTTCTCCTTGCAGTATCCAGAACATAAGTAAGAAATTTGAATTGGGCTTTTTTTTTTTTTTTTGCTTATTTTGTTGTTCCCTCCACTTGTCAGTTTCAATTACTCACATGCAAACAGAGGCAGGGACATCTTTACACAGCTAGTTCATTTTTCTGCTTTGACAGAATTTAGCTTGTTGCACAATCAAGGCAGAATCTGACTCTCTTCTCCCAGAAGCTACCCTGAACAGCGGAGAAGTGAATTCAGTGAAACCCAGCAAGACTCTGTACAATCTTGCTGCAGATTGGTGGATATTTTCCCTGCTGATTTGTGAGGTACTGAAAGGAGAATCATCTTGCCTGTAAGAATTGGCCTGTTCATAGTTCAAAACAACCTCCAGCACTAACTCAGAAAAGTTCAGTATAGTGATAGGGATTGTCTAGGGCAGGGGTAGGCAACCTTGGCTCTTTTATGACTCATGGACTTCAACTCCCAGAATTTCTGAGCCAGTGTTTGCCAACCATGGCAACTTCCAGATGTATAGATTTCAACTCTCAGCATTCTCACAAGTGGCCGTATTCGCTGTGGAGTTGCAAGTCCTTACATCTGGAAATTGCCATGTTTGGAAAATGCTGGTCTGGGGGACAGCATATGTTCTATCAGCATTGTTTTGGGCCAACTGAAGGATGAGTAGATAGCACTTTAATTTAGAGGTCCATTACAGTATCAGGTGCATCAAGTGACACCAATCCATGACTGTTTATGACACAATAGAGCAGCGGTCTTCAAACTTGGTCCTTTTATGACTTGTGGACTTCAACTCCCACAATTCCTCAGCCAGGCATGCTGGCTGAGGAATTCTGGGAGTTGAAGTCCATAAGTCATAAAAGGGCCAAGTTTGAAGAGCCCTGCAATAGAGGGTTACTATTAAAGTTGCCAAGAGGATTTTTTTTGTCACTGCATCAAATGAATACGTTTCCCTCTGAAAATAAAACAATAGTTTTTAGATTATGAAGGCCAAGAATGGAAACAACTTTATTCCTGTAGGAGTCAAATTCCCTTGAGCTAAGGCTGTCATGTGTCTGATTAACGAAACATTTCAAAGAACTTTCAGGCATTTTTTTTAACCTAAAAAGCTTTTATTAGTATTACAGAGTGTCAGCACAACATGGTGGATGCTAAGATCTGAATTTCCCTTCCTTTGCGCATAACATTCCAGGCATTTCCCCTCCCCTATTTTGGGGTCATGATTCACATCTTCCAATTAACTTGGAAGGCAAAGATTCACTTCCGTTTCTTTTTCCCGGGCTTTCCTTATATTCTCTTCCCCTTTCCCTGTCACCTGATTTAACTCTAAAGATACCAGACAATTCTGCATATATTGTCAAAGCAAGAATATTCAATATTAGCAGCGTTGACAAAGGCACTAAGTAATGTATCAGAACTATGCCTTATGTTCCTCATTCCATGCCAAATGTACTTCTTTGGCTGGAACTGGGCTGTGTCTCTGGGTAAACCAGCATGAAAATGCAATATAGACTAACATGGATTTTCTGCTATAGGTCCCTTATTCCGTTAATGCTTGTAGGTACATTTGCCTCCTGGAAAAAGGTATAACCCCAGATTTGCCTCCAGGCTTTCAACTCAATCCCTGCTAATATTTAGACCAGGGAAACAGGTCAAATTAAATTTGATTTGGATATGTAGAATGATAAAGTCTCAGATTACAAATGGGGCCTATATAGTAGACTTCGTGCTATTCCTAACATTTTCTCCACCAGTCTCTCCTATTTAATATTTTCAACAACAAGGCTTAAGTTTTTGCCATTACATGTATAGTATAAAAGGCATCACACACTCAGAGTATGCAACTGGCCATGTTTGAATGAGATCACTGCAACAATTTTAAATGTCTTATTGTGCTTCCCTTTATATCATAGGAGCACTTGACACTCCAAGTTAATATTTCCCTACTTACTAAATGTACAGGTTAGCCTGATCTCGAAGTTGCACACCTTTTCCTCAGAGATCAATCTAGTGAGATATCTCTGTTCTCAAAACTTGTCCAATTTTGTCCAAGTGCAATTGCTGTTAGAAGATGCTGGATTTGAATTATGCTCAAGCTTGGATGTTCTGGCTAAATATGCCTTACACAGAAGATTGTCAATATTTATGATTGCCACTACGTCTACCATCTCTAATATGCTAATTTCTCATCTAGTTTTATTAGCTAATAGTTTTACTGCTTTCCTTTTGGTCCCTGACTGTAAACAAATACACTCCTTTGAAGTTTTATTTATTGTCTCACAGATAATTAAAGCTTTTTATAGGCTTGTGGCATTATAAATACATTTTATGGTACAACATTGCAATGAGACAGCGTTGAGTCGTATTTAGGGCAAAAATTAAAAAAAGGTTCTTGGCATTAATGATTTTACCACTCTGATGTTTCTAATCTACTATAGAAATTATTTAATTTATGCATATGAAACTACAACTTATAAACAGGCACAAGAATTCTGTGATTCAGATACCTGTAGCTTTCCAAAACAGCTTTCCTATCATATGTTCCAACAATTCCAACAATTAACCAGTGGAGCAACCTGCCTCCAGAAGTGGTGAATGCTCCAACACTGGAAGTTTTTAAGAAGAAACTGGACAGCCATTTGTCCGAAATGGTATAGGGTTTCCTGCCTGAGCAGGGGGTTGGACTAGATGACCTCCAAGGTCCCTTCCACCTTTATCACTATTATTATAGCACAAACTGCTACTGGCAAAAAGAAACTTCAGACGAAAACAACCCCATGTGCAAATGTATAAATTCAGGGTGGGTTTTTTTTTGCAATATTATCATATCCTGGTAATAAAATTGACAGGACAATAATACAATGGTCTCTGGATGCTCCAAATATAATGAGAAACATTATATCTTTTAAAACTCAGAAGTGTGAGTTTTTTCCACTATCATAAACTTAGAAGCGTGTTACCATTACCAACCTCTCAAATCAGCTACTCATATCCTGAACTAGCCTATGATGCAGCAGATTCCCTCCAACATCCGATGAAGAGGGCAACAAATCACATTTTTAGGCTGAATGGAAAGGAGGGAGAAAACAACAGCCCTCTTGAGCATGCCTTCCTTATATCTGGATGTACTTACGGAATGTTGGAGAGGTGAAGAGTGGCCGACGGTGGGAAGATATTTTGGAAGTTTTTGGAGCCAGGCTTCTTAAAGCGATGCAAAGGGCTATTGCCATAGTCCTTAGTTAGACCCTGGTCCTCTTGACCCTCACGAGGGAGCTGTACTGTTTGATGCTTTGAGAGTGTAATACGGAGTGTTTTCCCATATAGTTTTTGTCCATTTAAATGATTCATGGCTGAAGTATTTAAGACAATGAAGTTAAGATTGGGGGAAATTAAATAAAAAGATACTGTACCAAGGGGTACTTTTAAAAGATCTGTTCCAATAATCAGTTAGTATATTAGATTCACTTTTTGCTAATTTTCAACTACGCTGATTTCCAATATGCTATTTATAGCAAAAATAGCAATAGCAATAGCACTTAGATTTATATACCATTTCATAGTGCCCCCCCCCCCAAATCTGGGTCCTCGTTTTACCGGCCTTGGAAGTATGGAAGGATGAGTCAACCTTCAGCCGGTCAGGATCAAACTCCTGGCAGTGGGCAGAGTCAGCCTGCAATGCTGCATTCTAACCACTGCACCACCATGGCTGTTTCATTTTATAATGTTTCTGAATTAGGATCAGGTGTACTCTAATTATTATTTATGAGAGAAGCAGATCACTATGCACAATTAATAAAGTATAGAAAATGAAGCATGCATTAACTTCCCATTAAAGAATCTTCAGTTGAAAAAAATAATCAAATGAATTTTTAATCAAATGAAAATCAATATCTTGTTGCAGAGGTAAAAGTAGCAGTAACATTTAACTTCAATTCTTAAGAGTTTTGCTGTTTGTTTTTTTTAAAAAGGAAAATCATAGATGTTTACTATAAAGTAAATGAAATAAGCAGTTTGTACAATGCAATCACACTATATTTGATTAGCACTGTTCATACCTAGTTGGGCTTGAGTTGCATCTGCCATTTGAACTAAGGCATTTTCCTTCTTATTAAACATGATTTTTACACGGTGGACATCACCATAAACACCTGCAAAGTAAAACGCATTTGAATTCATATATACAAAACAACATAGATATGAAAATCTACAAGTCAAGATAGATTCTAATTATTATTTACAAAAGAATCAGGTTCCTATACATAAACCAACACATATATAGATGTCACCCAGTATTTTTAAGAACATAAACCAATTACAATTTGTATTTCAACATGAAATATTAGCTTATCAAACAATGTTATGTATTTTCTGTATATAGAAACTAAACTTACCAAACAAGATAAAAAGCCCATCTGGTGTGATTGCCTGCACAGAATAACAAGACAATAATTTTGTACTGTGTAATTTGTAAATCTGGAATTATCATATAGTTACTGTGTATGTTTGTTTTAACATATTCTATACCAGTGATGGCGAACCTATGGCACACGTGACAGAGGCGGCACTCAAAGCCCTCTCTCTGGGCACACCTGCCGCCACCAGCTCACGCAAGTCCATTAGGCCACCGCTGGCACCCGGAGCGGCAGCCTCACCCAGCACAAAAGAGGCAAAGCAGCTGGCTAGCAAACTCGAGTAGAGGTGGTAGAGCACGCCTCCATGTGCTCGCTGGCCTCTGTGTGCGGGGGCTGATGGTGTCAGGCAGCAGCCGCCCCTGCCTCGCTCTGCAGCAATGGCATCCCCGCCCTACCCCCTGCTTCACCCCGCAGGACGAGCCTCCTGCCCACTGCCCCACCCACCAGAGATCCCCTGGATCTCCCCCAATCCTGCCCAGCCCCTATAAGCATCCCCCCCCACGAGCAACATCAAGGTGGCCATGGCTACCCCAGCCACGCCCACTCAGTCTGCCATGACCGCCACAGCCACACCCACCCAGTGGGCCACGCCCCCCACCCCGAGGGCACTATGCTGATGCGGCTCTGGCACTTTGCGATAAATAAGTGGGTTTTGGGTTGCAGTTTGGGCACTCGGTCTCTGTTCTATACTGTAGTACTGTATATAATTCACATCATTTAGCCATGTTTTTCATTGGTAAGGCCATGTAATTGTTTAGATTTTAACAAATAGCATAAATTTAATTATAATAGTTGGTAGTTCAACTAGGTTTAAAATGAGATAATGGGGGCTGCAATGTTATTAAAATCAGCTTTGTTATATATCTATGGCTGAATTTAAATGCATTTTTATTGGGAAAAGAGAATTGTTCTAGCACTAGAAAGTTTAACATCTTTTTATACAACCTGCCATATCAGATAGTCAAGATCATAAGGAGGTACAGTACAAGAAACTGGAATGTCTGGTATACCAATGTAATAAAGGCCATTCTGGGTATATGTCACGTTATTATACATTTACAATTAATTAAAAAATACTATTGCATGTCACAACTTTTTAGGAAAAAAGTGGCAAGTTCAGTTAATAGTGAAAATATAATGGGTTGCTAACAATGAGGATACGCATTATAATATTCCCTTTTGAAAATAAGTTACTTAATATACTGATTTTGTTCTGAAAGAATCAGTGGTTTTTGAGGAAGCTTACATTCTTTTACCAGCTATTCAGAAAGTAACAGGAAGACAATGGAAAATGTCACTGCTTTTATACACACGCACATATACAAACCTTGATAACTACAGGGTTGGAATGACTCTCATGTTCAGTGAATTATCCAATGGTGTGAAGAGCTTACCTTTTTTTCTTTATTTGAGCAAATACTTCAGTAGGAGTCCAACTCGGAGGATTACTTAATATTTGTATATATTAGTTTCTATGTTTAATTACCCCCTTTCCTTGTTTTCAAGTGCACTAGCAGATGTTAATTAAGGACATGAATGTCACATTAGCATATACATATCAGGTTTTTTGTTTACAATGTAAGATATACATTCTTTTGTGGGTTTATGACTTTTTTTTCTTTTTCAAAAGAATAAAAACGATTAAAACAAAAACTATGTTTGAGTTGTGGTATATGCACATGTGTTAGCCTTACATCAGGATTAAGATTGCTAACAAGTAACACAGAATTTCCAGGTAATCCTGTAACTCCTGGGAGACCCATCCGCCCAGTCATTGCAGAGGTGGAAATTGCAAGAGGACCAAGTGCGCCAGCCGGGACCGATAAACCTGGAACAGCCAAGAGTTCCAAAAAGCATTTCAGTAAAAACAAAGGTAACTCCATTTTTATTTCTCATGTTAAAAGTAAATCTAATCTGGAAATGCACGGCAATCTATTTCTCCTCACTGGATTAAATATCATAGCTTATGTCTAAATTCCATTTTGAAACAGCAAACTGAATCAAATCAAACTCTCATCCCAATCTTTTAAACTTCTCCCCATGTTTTATGGAAGAAGGATTCCTTCAAAATGCCATATTACTCAAGACTTTGATTCTTGTGTTTCCTGCTAGTAGTTATATATGGATAAAACATTCTCTTATATTGTCCTGCCCAATTACAATCAAATAACTTAATTTTCTAACTGGAATTCAAAACATCAGGAATGGGAAAATAGTCAAGCAATATTAAAAGCTTTATTTTTAGTGCTTCATTAATGTGCTGTTAAATAAAATAACAACACGTGACCCACACCATTAAAAAGCTGCCAACACATTTGTCAGCTTTTGGTTCTTAATACATATATAAATATTTAACAAACCTAAATGAAATATTAAAGAAAGAAAATCAGATATTTACTATACTAAGAAAGACTTTTACCTGCTTGGGGGAAGCCAATGGCAGGAGCAAAGCCAGCTGCCCCTGCATATGGTGAGATGATACTTGGAGTACCTGAAAAAAGAAAACAAATTAGCCCAGATTGCAGAAGGTTAATTTCTAGAGAAAGTAAAAAGTTATTCAACTCCTAAAGGAACAAATTTTTGTCTTAGACCTATTGCATGGGATGAATATATCCCCTGTTCAATTCAGTTTGTGTGATTCTCTGCTCTGCTTCTAATGGAAGCCTATACTGGCAATTAAGTGATGAATAATAGCTGTACAATCTTCCTCAATATTGGTATAATTCCAATAGGCCTTTTAGGATCTGCTTCTCTGACAGGACACTTAAGAACCAAAACCCAAGTGCAAATAGCATGTATACATGTAAAACTTTGTCTGTAGTTTATTAACAAGGGCCAAGTGCTTCATTTTTCTTTTTATGTTAAATTAGACCAGTGTTTCTCAACCTTGGCAATTTTAAGATGTGTGGACTTCAACCCCCCAGAATTCCCCAGCCAGCTTTGCTACTGGAGAATTCTGGGAGTTGAAGTCCACACATCTTAAAGTTGCCAAGGTTGAGAAACACTGAATTAAGACAATTAGATAATACTATTCATTTTTCCCCACCTCCAATGAGATAGCAGGAAAATATATAGCAGCTGCTTTCATGCTACCAATTGCTTACTCTCTGAAGATTACTTAACTGATCGAAAGTACCCTTTTCAACTGCAGCAAGTTATACAAAACGTAGAATATGATTTGTGGAAATAAGCACTGAGCAAAGAAATCAAGTGGGCTCTATTTCATGAGGCCAATTCACATGCTACAGCTATGATGCTTTGGAAACAGCAGGACATTGCCACATTCAGGACTGCAACCTTTCATGTTGTCTGAACTCAATAGCTTCCTAAACCTCTTATCTTTAGTCACAATATGGCAGTTACACAAATACTGCAAAACACTATATATTTTATAGTTATAATACAGCATGCATTGGTATTGTGACTTGTATTTGGCAATATAGGCATTCATCATTTAATTTACACTTCTGCTCTCCATTATAATTCATTATGCAAACATTCAGTAACAAAGAGCTTATTCAGCCAGATAGGGCCTGCGTGAATACTGATATCAAATACATACAATACCTTGTATTTCTATCCAAGAATAGTAGAGAGTTTTTGCATACAGCATGTAAACTCTCTTTGCAGTATCACACAAATGGATAGCTTAACAAATTAATTAATTCACTTGACACTGGGTCAACATATGGCTGCTTGAGAGAAAAAGTGAATATGTTTTCTCATCTTAATACTGCCATTTACCTGTTCTTCTAATTCTTTAAGCTTAGATTCAGAGTTTACTGAAGCTGTTTTGTGTATTTAGATCAGGGCTTTTCAACCTTTTCACCCATTGTACCACTTTTAGGATATGGCAATATCCGAGTACCACCAGTCGCTTAGCAAGGTGTCAAAAACTTGATGACCAAAAAAAAAAAAAAAAGGGGAAAAGTGATAAAGTTCAGGTAGTACTCGACTTAAAACAGTTTGTTTAGTGACTGTTCGAAGTTACAATGGCACTGAAAAAAGTGCCCCCCAAGCCACAGCCGAGCAAGACACCTGCCTGCTCACCCGGCCGCGCTATTCCTCCTGTCTGAGGTTTCCATTGTTATGAGCATTTCTGTTGAGGATTGGCAGCAGGGGTGGGGTGGGGGGGTGTTTGGTTTTTATTCCCCCCGTCTGCTAGGTGGTTGCAGCAGGTTTTGGTCACTTCACATGACCCTGGGACACTGTGACCATCATAAATATGAATCAGTTGCCAAGCATCTGAATGTAAATCACAAGACCCTGGAGATGCTGTAACATTCCAGCTGATCGGCGCTTCTTCTGTGCTCAGCAGAAGTGCCAGGATCAGTGCTGCTTTCCAGCTGATTGGTGCTTCTTCAGGGCTCAGCAGAAGCACCAGGATCAGCGCCGAGCTCCAGCTGGAGCTGGCGCTTCCACTGAGCCCTGACAGCCCCGAAGAAGCACCGATCAGCTGGAAAGTGGCACTGATCCTGGCGCTTCCGCTGATCCCTGACAGCCCTGCAGCTCCAGCCATCTCTCGCTCAGGCTTGTGCGGTGCTGACACCGGTTCAGCTCCCCCGCTACTTTTCTAGGATGGTCGCGTACCACCTGCCAGGTGCTAATGTACCACAGGTGGTACCCGTACCACTGGTTGAAAAGCCCCGATTTAGATAATTAATCGTAGAAACAGCTGAACAGGAGGAAAGAAAAATCACAAAATCCTGCATTCATCTATTGTGAGCAAAAATGTCTGGGATCAGAGTGCACCTTGTTCACAAAAATACAAATGCAAGGTTTGGGAAATTCTTTCCAGGACAAATTTCTGCCTGAACATTGCTCATCTGGTGCTCCCAACTGAGTAAGTCTGTAGCAATCAATTACCTGCCTGGATGAATGCCTGAGAAAACTACAAAGCCCAGGCTAAATTTAAGATCATTCTCAATAATCTGATTCTGTTCTAGTTCTGAAGATTAAATTCCTAAAGCTCCTGTTTTAGTTCCTGAGCTCAATTCCTAATGGGCTATCCCTAGAGAATACCATGGCTAACCAGAAGAGAAAGAACTAAGAATATCTTTCTACAGAATACCTTCATATAAAAGAACTAAGAATACCTTTCTGCAAGGGGGAATGGTTTCCACTGCACTTTCAGAAGAAAGGGTTAAGATTTTTTTCTCTGCCTACTTTAGAAATAGATTTTTTTTAAAAATGTTTTATTATGAGCTATCTTGAGATCAATACGTTAAACCCCAATATATTAAATATAAATAAATACAGCATATTGATTATTTTCAAAAGTACCCTTTCAGGGCAAGGCTGACAGTGATTACTGCTTAACACTGAGAATGTATGGATAAAGATAAGTTTGATACAGTTCCAAATGTTTATGAGTTCAATGCTGGACTCAACACCTTGTTTCAATTGGAGATGGACGGGACAGCAAGAAGCCATCAGTGCTTCCGTTCCAAATTCTACAACAATAAAAATTACCTTCTAGAGTACAGTAACATTATTGTAAGATTATAGCCTCATCAGAGCTGTGTAAAGAGTCAGTGTCCTTCACTTTTTTTATAAATAAAATTTCCCCTAAAATAAGAGGAAGCAAAATGTATCTTCGTTGTTTTTCTGGGTTAGCTAAGGAAGAAATGTTTGGTGGTGTTTTCCAACAGATGCTGGCAAAAGGTTGTGCAAGAATGAACAAAGCAAAATTGTAAAAGTGAATTTTTGCCCATTACTTCCAATACACAGGGGAAAATGTTCCTTTTTTTTTTTAAAAGGCCCAAATTTGACAAACTCTCTTCCATATCCTCAGTGATGCATAGGACACAAAAAGTACAAAAAGAGAATCTCAACTTTGGCTCTGAACAATTTCATAACTGAGATATAAGCAGTAGTGCTATAATTAAAAAAACATAATTATTAATCTAACATCATAACCTATATTAATAATCAATATTTTCAGCCACTTCCAAATGACGGCTCACTTTACTGCTATCTAATACAGTTAACCTATATTAATAATCAATATTTTTCAAAGCCACTTCTTCCAAATGACGGGAGGCACATTTTGCTGCTATCTATAACAGTATGTCTCTTTGTGTAAAGAAAAACCTCAGTAGCCCATGGGTAAAAGGCAGGAGCAATTTGTTCTATCTCCAACGACAAAGGAAGAGTTCTTACCAAAAGCAGCAGCCATATTAGGGTCAAGTGAAGGCTGCCCATCCCCTGAAGGAAGGTCCAGACGTGTGAAGTCTCTGCTCTTATCATTGTTATATTTTACATTAAGGCTTGTTAGCTTGGAGAAATCAATGCGAAGAGTGCAGCAGGCATTATAGATATTCTGACCATCCAGAGCCTATGGAGATATAAAAAAAGTTGAGGTTGTGAAATGCTTCCAGGATTTTTTGGAATTTAGATCACATAAATACATGCACAGTTGCAGTGTGAACATACATTCTGGTTGAAGCAAAGGGCAAATGGGTTCATATTCTCAATGTTGCTTTGGCCCATTGTTTTATGTGCTTTGTAAACTAAAGGGACCATATTGCCAGAATTTTGTAACTCTGCTATACTTAAATTATGCACCAAGTATCATTTTGAAATTGCATTTCTTTGAGACTACGCACCATCATGCTTATGTTGCATCACTGAGGCTATCAAGTTAGTAAAATATAGCTATTAGATGGTACACAGCTCTATTAGAAGATTTGAAAGATTTGAATAATTAATCAAATAGCCTTCTTGGAGCACCTGTTTAGAACTTGCAGAGCTGTTCTGAAAAGTTTTTACTATCAGTCCTAAAGGCTTGCCAGAGTAATCTTTCAAAACTGGAACAATCTGCTTCTTTTTGCAGCAGTGGTAAAGGGGAAAAAAGGATGGGAGAAAATTGTAGGCACCCTCTGACAGACAGTGAAATGGGCCTTTGGAAAGCTGCATTCCACACATTACCCTACCAACATTTAAATGGAGCATGTTTATAATGTTTATGCAGTCTCTGAATTTCAAAGAAATATATTATACCGTAATGCAAAGAAATAGCTATATGAAATGATTATTGCACATTATTTCTGTACTGTAAAATTGCAGCATAATACTTGTGTGACATAGCACCAGAAAAATAAGGCGTTTCACATGCAGTAAACGGTTACAATGCAAGCATATTAGGAGTCTATTCGCAAAGTTACCATTTTGGCATACTGTGCATTCAAAGGATCAGCATATTGAAGCAAGGCCTGGAACTGATTATTCTTCGTAAAGGTTATGATCTTCAGAACTGTTCCAAACTTGGAGAAGATCTAAATCAAAAGTTCAAACAGTCAATTCATGCATTAATACTTTCTTGGGAGTTTGAGATATAATGATTATTTCAAACAACCTAAATTTACAGGCATGGGGATTTTTTATTGTAATTTGGAAGTGTAGCACTCTGAACATGGTATTAATGGGTGTTATAACAAATTTCATAAGTGAAACAGTTCTCTCAATAAAAACAAAAATAATAAAGACTGATTTTTCTTCAATATATACAAATTATAATTAAACATAATTTAGTTAAACTGGCCAGTTACATTACTGTTTTTGCTGCAAGGAAAACATCACCTAAGCTTGAAAGGCTTCCCCCCCCAATATTTAATGTAAATAAGGTAAATAATCACATTAAAGAAACAATAAAGACTAAAGAGTAGCACAGTTCTGACAATATGTACAAATGACAAAACAAGGCTGCGTTTGAAAGGGTTTGCTTTGCAACACAAAACATAGAATCTCTCTTTGAATTGCTAAAGCAGCTGTGTCCTTTGCAAGCCTCATGCAGGTGTTTTGGAAGTTATTCCTAGCTGTTTCCATATGTATGTGTGTGAACATCTGTTTGGCTTCATTGGGGAAAAAAGCAGCTTTCCATTTTGTAAAGCAAACAAAACAAACAGGCAGAGATTGTCAGAAATGGTTTTCAAAGCCGCTATGCAACTCTTGGTCATGGCTGCTATAATAATCCAAAGAGAGGTGTTATATTTGCAACCTGGCCATTCAAAAGCTTTCCACCACCATAATAACCCACAATAATATAGTATTGGGATTAAATGTACCCTAAAGCTATGATCTAGCAAAATTTGTTCATTCCAGTTTCTCCTTTCAATTCTACAGAATCGCATTATTATGTATTCATTGTGCTCCCTGATTTGAATTCAATTCATGAGCAAATACTTAATATGGAGTGTACAAGAAACAGAGAAGGAAACAGATATGCATGATCCTGCTGGTTGAATCACGAGTGCCGTCTGTGGTATTTGTTACAGCACGCAAGTTATTCTCTAGTAAATAATTGGTTTTCATTACTTTTTCATTTGAATTAAGAGGAAGGACACTCATTCTGGGCTTAAGATATTTGGTAAGGGGAAAACACAATCAATAGCCATATTTTAATGCCAAATATATCCACATAAATAATTACAACAAGAAGAACATTTGTTTATACCTGATATAGCACTTCTAGAGTAACAGGATAGAAGAGATTTTCCACAATAATTCGAAGAACCGAACTCTGACCAGGAGGCAGCCCACTCTCAGTCATTGGAGCACCTGTGAGGGCCATGCCTCCAGACTGCACAGCATTCACTGCTTGCAATGCAGCTTGAGTTCTCTGAGAGGGAGATAAAAGTTTATCTATTATATATGCAAAGAACATGAAATACAGATTATGCTCAGAACAAAATCCTACAGGAATCAGTAGGACTCCAGGAGATGGTCTTAGGCCTCCTTTTTTTGCATCTACCTCAGTAATAGTGCAGATTACTAATTTTTCATTCTGCTCAAGTGTATGGAAACATCTCAAACATATTCTAAGCTTTTGGAATAATTGAATAGCTATATAAGGTAAAGTAAGATTTGCTCAAACGTTTATTCAACTGTGCCCTATATCAGCACCATTCTCCTACATCAACCTCATCAGCAAAACACAAGGAAGTAAGTCATAAGAAATATGGCTACAGATGATAGAGTTGCTGCTCTAGCTAAGAAATAGACTTATCAGAGGCCTGCTAGAGACTGTTCTATTTCCATGTTGAGTTCCAAATAACATCTTGAAATGCTATGTTGGATGGATCTTGGAGACTGCTATGATCCACCATCTTCAAGTGGTTTCTTGCCAAAAGCACTTGCTGCTATAAGACAATTATTCCAGCAGAATATGAAATTTTAAGGCTATTTCAAACTGATCTGCAAATTCCATTTTCTCCTGAATTAGTGGGATAAAAGTACAAATAACAAAATTTCCTCCAGCAGAATAGTTAACTTTGCTTAACCTTGGTTCCCAAAAATATGGAACTTCATTGTTCATCAGATTTTTTTCACCATAGCCAAGGCACAAATTTTATCTAAAGTTTATTAAGAATGAATTGTTCCCGAACAGAAACATACGCAAAGGTCCCTGCTCAAATTCCACACTTATTCTGTCACTGTTCCTCTTGGCATTTCCCAATACCAATCATGCAATATTGTTGTTTCTCAAAGTCTAATCTAACAGAGGCCTAATGGGTGTAATATAGGTAGTCCTCAACATAACCACAATTGAGCTCAAGATTTCTGTTGCCAAGTAAGGCAGGTAACTGAGTTTTGCTCCATTTTACAACTTTTTTTGCCACAATTGTTAAGTGAATCACTGCAGTTGTTAAATGAATCATACCGTCATGAGGCGAATCTGGCCTCCCCTACATTGATTTTGCTTGTCAGAAACCAGCTGGGAAGGTTACAAATGATGATCACATGACCACAGAACAATGGAAGTCTCATAAATACATACCAGTTGCCAAGTGCCCAAATTTTGATCACATGACCATGGGATGCTACAATGGTCGCAAGTGGGAAAACTGGTCATAAGTCACATTTTTCAGTGCCGTTGTGACTTTGGTCACTAAACAAATGGTTGTAAATCAAGAACTACCTGTATTTAAGGTGTTGGGGTGACTGTCAGTGAGACCCACATCAAGTCCATACAGTCATGGAAGCTCATTGGGTGGGTCATTCTCTCTCAGCCCAACCTATTACCCCAGAATAAAGTTGTTGTGGGGAATTAATAGGAGGAAGCAATTCACATGCCACCTTAAGCTCCAGAATGAAAGGTGGGAGAGTATGCTAACAAATGAACAAAACATATATATAAAAGATCTATAAAGTGAAAAGGACAGAATTCCTAAGAATGCTATTAGAACCTTCACCCTTGAATTGAAAGAAAATTGTCTTCTTGATTAATTCACGGCTTACTACTAAAGTCTTTAAAGTCTTTTCAGTTTTGTCTGTTTGCCGTGTTGAATAGATATGTCCATGCAGTTTGCTTTTAATATGTGGCTGAGGTAATTGAGGGCAAAGATGATCATCCACATATAGGAACTGGATACTATGGGATGCTCCAGATCACATACATAAATTTCTTATAGGCATTTGATTAACATTTTATTCTCAGACCAGCTAAAATGGAATTTCTCCTGATGCAGGTATATTCCCAAATGCATACTTTCACAAAGATGTTCAGTTCCAGGTTCAAGTAGCTAAGTCTTTTTTCTTCAATTGTCATCCATCTGAGAGGGCAAAGTATATTTCTCTTTTATGTAATCTGCCAGAATTTGGATTGAACAAAACTGAATATATATTGAACAGATAATTTGAGAAGAAAAAAGGACAAGAAAGACTAGATATCTTGAATTCCATAATGAAATATTACTGTTACATCAATTAAGATATTTGGAACAGGAAGCAAAAATAATTACATGAAATATCAAATAGTAAAATTTCTCAGTTCTGCAAGCAGTTAGAGCAGCAGAATTACCACTTCTTGATAATTCATGACCCTTTTTGGTAAGCTGAGACCCTACACACACACATCCCAAAAAAGATGAAGTGGCAATAATAATGATGATGATGATGATAATGAAGTGGGTCATCCTTAGTAATATACAATCAAAGGCATCTGCTGGGGTGGTGGAAATGATGCAAAATGCATGACTTTATTATCGCACTAATAGCATAAATTATTACTTGCATCAGAAATTAGAATGCAAGTATACAATGGCAACATTTGTATGATAGTGTCATGTTTGTTGTCATTCTGACAGCACTGCAGTTTGCTGAGACATCACTGCATTTGAAGGTCATATACTTTATTCAGAAGTAGCATACTTACAGCATGGTTGGGTAGATTGTCAGTCTTAAGTTCTCTATGATTGGAATACTGAATATAAACAGGCTGACTGCGAAGGTGAGGTGTAACAGGAGTGTAGTAGTTCACCATAGTAACAGCAGCTTCTTCTGAAGCCATTTCTAGAAAAGCCTGAAAGACAAGAGAAATATCTTGACTGGAAAACCACTACCCTAACTGGGGAAGTATGCAATACACATAGGTGTCATCTGCAGAACTGTCATGTATGACACTGTTTTGCTCTAAGGCACCATAAGTCAATACAAATTACAGCAGTTCATAAAGGAAAGAAATAAAGTAGCAAAAACTGCACTAGTATTACCATCAAGCCCTCCCCAAAGTTAATTTTATTTTTTCTCACTTAAAAATGTAGTTGCCTAAAAGAAAGGTTTTTTTTTGGGGGGGGGGGGTTTGTTGGAGCTGAGAGTCTGGCTTTGAGTCAGTGCTGATTTCTGGTGACTACCTGAACTAGTTCCTGCAGTTTTCAGAGGTAGTTTGCCACTGCTTCCTTCCTAGGGCTGGCAAAAAGGGGATGGCCCAAAGTCACACAGCTGGTTTCCTGCCTGAGGCAGAACTAGAACTTACAGTTTCAACGTTTCTAGCCTGGTGCTTAATCACTACACCAAACTGGCTCTCAGTTCTTTATTAGCGATGTAAATAATAAAGCTGTAAAACCTGTTATGTTGAAAGCAATTTATCAAACTATTCTTACTGCTACTGATGAAATAAGAGGTTACAGAAAAGAACAAGATGTCAGCCCAGATATACGAACTCAAACTTTGATTACAACTAGAAAATCAACTACACAGAATATAACAGAAAAAGTGGAACAATTAAATATTATGACAGAGGATTCAACTGATCAACAAATACAGTCAATGGAAAATCCAGAAAAGGGACTGACAATATGGAAAAGGGAAAAGACTTCTTATATAAATCAGAAGAAACCTGAGGATCAAGAATAATAACAGACTGAAGAGAAGATAAACAGTTCAAGACAACTACGTCGAGATGGAAAAATAGAGAGATGATTTGTTAGTCCTCTTAAAAAAATGGCTGCTGGGTGATTTTTTCTATGTCAAACAATATACATAACAACACAGGGAGATTTATTTGATGACTCAAAAGCACGGACACGGAAGACGATTTGGCAAAGAAAGAAAGCTAGAATAATACTGAAGAAAATTGGGGTTTTGACTTATTAGTGAGAATTAAAATAGATAAGATGTGTACTTTGAATATTAGATATTGTAATGAGTTGAGATAAAGAAAAATTTGGTCATTTAAAACTTGGAAGTATAAATATTAACAGTTAAATTTGAACATTGATTTGCTTATAAAGGTTAAATGTAAAGGTAATTAAGATATATAAGCTAAAAATCTATCGATGAATGTAATAAATATCTTTTTACTTAGCGGTAATAATAAAAATTAAATATGAGAT